TTAATGTAATGTGCAGGGGTTGACCTTAAAAAAAAAAAAAAAAAAGAAGACCACAAACAGAATGCATGTCAATTCTGAGAGGGACTCTGGTATTTCAAGTGTAAAGGGACAGATTTCCTGGTGAAACTGCGCTTTAACTAGTTCCTTCTGCTTCTGCAAGCCTTTGGAAACCACAGCTCTCAGAACTGTTCCTTAATTGATTGCTCTCTGGAACCTACATTTTTTTTTTTTCTAGGAAACATGGGGAATTTTTAAAGTGGCACACACAGGAAAGTCCCTAGGAAGTCTGTAAGTGCTCCTGCAGGCATGTGTGACCCACCAAGTTGGCCATTTAAATAAAATGGTCTTGAAGTCCCACCAGGCTGAGCAAGGAAGGGGTTTACAAGCAGAAGCGGGGAGCTGGGCGTGTTGGGATAAATGGGGCCAAGGGGAGAAGATTCAAAGGGGTTGGTTAAGGAGACTCCTGCATCGTCCCTGGGCTCAGACAATGCCTCTGAGGCCTGGTAAGGGGAATCTTGGATTTAATTCAAAATGTAATACAACCATTGAGGGGTTGGTCCTGGGCCAATCGGCCTGGGACCACCACGGACAGGGGCGAGGTTGTTTGTGGGGTCTCTCCCTCCCCTCGTGGGTCATTGGCCACCAGTCCACGAGGACAAAGGGAGCAGAAGCAATGAATGGGGTCAGGGACGGCCAGTGAGCGCTGACAGAAGAAAACCCTTCTGGGGAGGCAGGTTCAGTGATACAAACAGCTCCAGACTCAGTGAAACAGCTCCGTTTATTCAGTGGGGGTCAGGGAAAATATAGTGTGGAGGCAGTAGCGAATGCTTCAGCTGATAGGTGCTCATAGTATGCTTTATTTACATGTGGCAGTAGGATCCTATCATCTGACTATCGGGCAATGCCTAATTATCATATAGAAAAAACCTGGGGGTAGTTTTTACTCCAGGTAACTATGCCAAAGGTCATGTTGTAAATGAGGCCAGCATCCGTGCTTGGTGGCACTTTCCAGGTAAATCAGGCAGGAAGCTCCTGCTGAGAAAGGAGCCAACCTTAACAGCAGGGTTCCCCAACAGTTGTTTTTTTTCTCTCATGTCTATGTGCATGTGTGTTCATGTATGCACACATACAAATGGGTGTGTAAATGTGAATGCATGTGCACAGCATACATGTGGAGGCCATGGAGCAGCCTCGAGTGTCATTCCTCAGAATGGCATTCACCTTGTTTTTTAAGATTGATTTTTAATTTTTAAAAATTATTTAATGACCACATACTTAGAAGAAGCATTTCACACACACACACACACACACACACACACACACACACACAATCAACAAATTTTTTAAAAATGTATTATATTTGAGGAGGAAGCATGGAAATTTAATTTTTAATTGTATGTGTCTGTGTGTCTGTGCACATGAGTGCAGTGCCTGAGGAGGTCAGAAAAGGGGGTCAGATCCACTGAAACTGGAGTTCCAGGCAGCTCTGAACCACCCGACTTGGGTACTGGGAACAGAACTCAGGTCCTCTGCAAGAGCAGTATGAGCCCCATAGCTAGCTCCCTGTTCTGTTTTGTGGGTTTTCTTTCTTTTAGTTTTTGTTCTTTAATTTTAAAATTACATTTATTTGGGACATGTGCTTGCTACAGTGCACATGTGGAGGTCAGAGTTCAACCCGCTGGATTCAGTTCTCTCCTTCCACCCTGTGAGTCCTGGGGACTAAACTCAGGTCATCAGGCTTGGTGGTAAGCGCCTTTACCTGCTGAGCCATCTCACAGCCCTACTGTGTTTTTTCAGACAAGGTCTGTCACTTGCTTAGAGCTCACCCCAAGGATCCACCGGGCTCTTCTTCACCAGTGATGGGATTACAAGTGGGTGACACCACACACCGTTATTTTTACATGTGATCTGGGCATCTAACTCAGGTCCTGCTTGCAAGGCAAGTGCTTTACCCACTAAGCTCTCTCCCTTGCCAGGATTCTTGACTGTACTGTAAATCACAGAACACAGGATGCAGAAGGCATCTCACAAATGGTTGCTGAAGTATAATTGGGGAAAAGTGGGATTAGGTGAAATTTATAGAAGTTGTATTAGACAGGTACCAGCCTGGGCTGCAAATTCTATCCTTGGGAACCACAAAGTAAAGACAGAGATGGAATGCTGGGGCTGGCTTCCTTATCTGAGCTATGCGTGGAGAGGTCTGCTCCTGTGTGGGTAACTTGGGCTTCCAGGTCAGAGTGTGATGTTTCCTCCTTCGGACTGTACTTCAGAAAACCCAGCTCCCGAAAGCCCAAGATTGTACAGAACCACATCCCTTTGCACGTAAGAAAGTAGTTGTCACACAAAGAAAAGGGGCTGGCTTGACCCTCGACAGCTGCAGCTTGTCCTCAGAGAGACACATGCCCTGTGGCTTTGCAGCTGCAACATCTGCACCTGTAACTGCAGCTGAGGGACAGCAGGGAGGGTTTACATTTCACTCTGTCCCATGAGCTGCATGAATTCACAGACCAAAACCAAAGGCATGCCAGCACTTAACCTGTGCCATCCCAGCAATGGGTCCTAGGCACACTTTGATGAAAAAAGGGACCCCGGCCTGGTCCTCAGAAGCTGATCCTCAGCTTGAATTGTCTCCCCGATCTCCGCATCAAAATCCTGGCCCTCATCCCCCACCACGATCCAACTTGTAAAGCTGTCTACTCAATGCCTGGTTCAGTAGGACCCAGCCAGGAGGTCCACTTCCCTATGGGCTCCCAGGAGCTTGTCTCTCCTCTCTTCCTGGCCCTGCCTTGTTCCTCAGCCTGTGACCTTGGTGTGACAAACCCTACTTCCTCTTCCTTGTGCCATCCCTGGCCATCCAGCATCCTCTAGCCTATTAAAAAATGAAACAAAACAGGGCTCAGTTGGTAGAGTCCTGCAGGCATGCACAAAGCCCAGGGTTTGATCTCCAGCACCAGGTATGGCTGTGCATGTCTGTCTCCCTAGCCCTTGGGAGGTGGAGGCAGGAAGATCAGAAGTTCAAGGTCATCCCTGGTGACTTATGGCTAGTCTGGACTATGTGAGGCCCTGTCTCTAAAACAAGCAAACACACATCCATCTTCTCCCTAAGATGTTCCAGCTGAAGAGATCTGAGGTAGTCCTGGACCACAGCATCTGGATTCTCTGAAAGTTAGCAGATAATTCAGATCTCCAATCAGGGGTGGAAGATGCTGTCCTGGAATGCCCACTCTGGTGCCCAGCAAACAGGGACAGAGATGATCATGCTCAAATGCGTTTACTGAGTGAGGTGGCACATTCTTGTAAGCCCAGTACTCAGGAGGCAGAGACAGGAGGATAAGCTTGAGTTCAAGGTCAGCCTGGGCTACATAGTGAATTCAAGGCAACCACTGACTATGTAGTAAGACCCTGTCTTAAAAAAAAAAAAAAAAAAAGAACTAGAATCTTAAGTTCTCTTTTATAGCACAGTTGCCTCAAAACACGAACAGTGGAAACACGCCGACCTGACGGCAAACCCTGCCCTCTGGAGGACACAGTCTCCGTGCTCTTCTCCCTCCCGCCCTCCTCACTGGCCTGTTGTTTTCCATCACTCAAATCACCATGGTCTCTTCTGTGTCCAGCTTATGTCAGCTAACACCATCAGACACGACTCCTGCCACCTCCTTCTCCCCCATCAGCTCTCAAACCAAGTGGTGCATCCTTAGGCTGGCCTGTTTCTCCCTGATCTGAGTCCCTCCACTCTGAAAGCCAATTCTGCCTCTGTGACCACCGGTACAGCCTCAGAATTTTAGATGGACATGTGAATAACTCAGTGTCCAAAACTTGACCTGTGCAGAACCCCAGAGTCACGAGGCAAGCTTATTTCTATGGCAGACCCCCTCTGAACTCAGATTCACCAGGCGTGCACCCCAAGACTGTATTCTAATCTGCTTCCTAGGCGAGGCAGATGCAGACACATGACCCACATCATGAGGCAGACTGCCTATCTGACCATGGGACCCTCCCACCAGCGTCTTGCTCTTGCTGGCCTCAAGCAACATGCCCAGCCTTTTGACGCTGTGACTCAATGTTGTCATCTGTAAAATTCACATTCAAAAACACTAAATTGAGTTTTTAAAAGGTTGTAAAAATCGTATAATACGTTATGTAAGTTTATGATTGATGATGTGTTGGGCTGCATCCATGGCTATCCTTGGCCTGTGGGCCGCAGGCTGGACCTATTTGCTAGTGAAGGCAAACACTCTACGCTGTCTTTGATGTTTGGGAGGTGACTAGGACACGATCTTGACGCTCTTGGCTCCATTCTTTTTCTCTCCAAGGCCCTCTTTGTACTTCCCAGACCTACAAGGGCCTCGTTGCCGACTCTACTTTCCCAGGTGTATGATGTGCCCATCCAGGGCCGGGTCTCCACAACCCTTAAGGTAAGCTTCACTCCACAATCCTGTTTCAGGCCCTTACTCCTGCTCTAAGTGTAAAAGATGTGTCCCCACTCAGGGCCGACTTTGTCACCTCCCCTGAGCCCACAGAACCCAGACCTGCTCAGGAGAACTCTACGGTTCTTGGGATTCTGGGTAGTTTTGAAATTTACTAGGAAAGGGACTGGAGAGATGGCTCAGTGGTTAAGAGCACTGGCTGCTCTTGCAGAGGACCCAGATTCAGTTCCCAGCACCCATATGGCTGCTAACAACGACCCATAACTCCAGTTCCAGGGCATATGACCTCCTCTTTCTGGCCTCCACGGGTACTGCATGACACAGGTGTACTTACATACTTGCAAACAAAACGCTCATATACATGTGAAATAAAATAAAAAATTTTAAATACTAGGAAAATAAAAAGGAGGAAGACCTGAGGTCCCCACGTCCTCTGCTCTCGGGGCTCCCCCTTCTTAAGGGGATCAGCTGACTTTGACCTTGGTAACTGTGGAGGCTGCTGCCCAAACTTCCCCTCTCCAGCTTCCAGCTAAGGCATCCTTGAAAGCACCAAATCCAGCTGGGCGTGGTGGCACAGGCCTTTAATCCCAGCACTTGGGAGGCAGAGGCAGGCAGATCTCTGTGAGTTCAAGACCAGCCTGGTCTACATAGTGAGTTCCAGGACAGCTGGGGCCACAGGGAGACCCTGTCTGAAAAAAAAAAGCACCAAATCCAATGTCACTAGCATACAATATATGCTAATTAAAAAAAAAAAAACACTAGAGGGCTGGAGAGCTGGCTCAGTAGGTTAAAATGCTTGCCTTTAAGTGTGAGAACCTGAGTTCAGATCCCAAGAACCCACATGAAGCCGGGTGCAGTATCTCTAGTCTATAATCTCAGGGCTTCTATGATAAAATAGGAGATTGAGGCAGGAGGGTCCCCAGAAGCTTGAGGGTCAGCTAGCCTGGAAACCCAGCAGCAAACAAGAAACCCTGCCTCAGCTGGGAGTGGTGGCACATGCCTTCAATCCCAGCATGCAGGAGGCAGGTGTGTGTTCCAAACCTGCTGGGGCTACAGGAAGACAAAAGGAAAGGCGAAAAAGGGGGAGGGGGGGAGGAGGGAGGAAAGGAAGGAAGGAAGGAAGGAAGGAAGGAAGGAAGGAAGGAAGGAAGGAAGGAAGGAAGGAAGGAAGGAAGGAATCCCTGCTTCAAATAAGGTATAAGGTGAGGACTGATAGCCAAAGATGTCCTCTTCCCTCCACACGTGTGGTAAGCATGTGCTCACTCTTACACACATGAGTACACAAACACACACAAAATAAAGACATTTAAAAAAATTTAAGTAGTCAAATAGTAAAAAACAAAACAATTTTTAAAAAGCCCCAGGTCCACTGCTTGAACTCGTGCGTAGGCTTCTGTCCCAAAGCATCATGACTTCAAGCCCCAAAGTGCTCAGAGCTTCGTGTCTTTTACTGGAGGAAACAGCGGACTGTGGAGTTTGTGTGGGAAACCTCGAGAGGAGAGAAATCTAAGCCGTCCTTCTTTATGATTTTTCCACAGAAGCCAGAGAAACAGCAGGTGTACGATATACCCACCAGCTCCCCAAAGGCAGCACTTCGCCCCTCAGCCAACCAGGTAAGCGTGAGTATGAACAGGGGCCAGGACGGGATGCTAGTCAACTAAACCTCCCCTGGGAAACTACTAGCTTGATGTATACTCACCTTTCTGCTGCTGTGATGAAACGCTTGAGTTAAACAACTCAGGGAAGGGAAGGTTTATTTTGGTATACTGTTTCAGAGTCCAGCATCAGTTGGCTAGTGGCTTTGGGGTCTATGGTGAGGCAGGACAGCAGCAGGAGCACTTGGTAGATAAAGATGCTAACCCGTGGTGGCCAGGGAGCAAAGACAGAGCAGAGGAGAGGGTTAGAGTCCCAAAACCCCTTTAAGAGGATGCCCCTGGTGGCTTAGCCATTACAATTTTAAAAATTGTTTTGCTTTTTACTATTTGACTACTTTGTGTGGATCTCCAGCACTCACATTCAGAAAAGAAGTAGCAGGGCATGGTGGTACATGTCTTCAATCCCAGCACTGGGGAGGCAGAAACAGGCAGATCTCTATGAGAGTGAGGCAAGCTTGGTCTACATAGTGAGTTCCAGGACTGCTGGGGCCACAGGGGGACCCTGTCGCCAGAAAAGAAAAACAAGAAAAGATCTGGGCATAGTGACACATGCCTGTAACCCCAGAACTGGGAGGTGGAAAGAGGAGGATGGCTGGGGCTCGTGGGACAACCAGTCTAGCTGAATTGGTGAGCTCCAGGTCCAGTGAGAGACCCTGTCTCAACCAACAAGATGGAGACAGAGGGAGACACCTGACATACACTTATGGTCCCCACACACGTGTGCATACACATGTACCTGAACACAAACGAGAGAACTGTCTCAAAACAGAGAGAGAGAGAGAGAGAGAGAGAGAGAGAGAGAGAGAGAGAGAGAGAGAGAGAGAAAGATTAACTGTGTGGTTTTGTCAGGATAATAATTTGTGCAAATTATTCACAAATTATTCCTGGAACAGAGCTCGGAGATGTGTTGATCAAAACATGTATTTATTTATATAGGGAGGAATGATGTCATTCAATGTTCCCATCAAAGGATCCATATTTGCCATTAAATTTTGCTTCATAAATTCTCCAACAGAGATGCTTATGCCCAAGGCTAGTGGTAGGAACTTTCCAGCAAGGAAACATTTCAGCTATGTCGTGAGGGGTACATAGGAGTTTGTGTTGTGCCCAGTGAACGGTTCCCCAAGTACCACCATGGAGTCCAGAGGGTATGCAAGAACAGAGTCTTTATTCCGGCTTAAGCTCGGACTCTCAGGCCTCACCAGCGCAGTGGGTCTGTACTGAGAGTCCGGAACAAGGGAAAAGGAGCCTTTTATAGTTTTGAGACAAAGGGAGGCGGGGAGTAGCAGTCACATTCCGATTGGTCCGGGGAGACCGTGCACCAGCATGCTTTAAATTGATTGGTTACAAGGGCTGCATACACCAAATAGGGTTAAGGCAGACTCAGGGGCTTTTCATTGGTGGGTGCTGTCTTCAGGGCAAAGGAATGTAGTGACCTAGGCTCATTTACAGGGTCCCGTTCCTTTACCTTATTTGGTCTCATTGTTTTCAGGTTTGCTCAAAACACCCCAGGCCTGTATCCTCCCCCTCTGCCTCGGTGACTGAAGGCTGAAGCCTAACACTGTGCGGGGGCTTATTACAAAATGGAGTAATAGCAGTAACCGTTCCCTAAAGCCAAGCAGATTACAGAAGCGAGAAGAGCGATTAGTCCTAAAGGGCATGGGTCTAGGGGCACAGAGGAGGGTTCCACAGTTTGTTAGATGGAAACAAATGGGTAAAAGGGCAGTTAGAGCAGACGGACAAATTGGGGCAACACTAAATACAGGGATACAAGTGGGTTTTCTTGGGTAACTGGTCAGAGACGAGGGGGTGCAGGCAAGATGGAGTTGTCCTAGATGTGGAGAGAAAGGCAGTTCAAAAAGGGGTAAAACCGCTTTGCGAGGGACCTTGAGTGACAACAGCAGTGGGGAGCCGCTGAAGGAACTCGGGCAGGAGAATGGCGCTCAGACTTAGAAAGTCATTCAAAACATTTTTCTATTGCTACTAACCTGGGCAACTTGTGTGCTTCTTCCCCAGGAACAGAATGTTCTGGAGACACCAACAGCTACCTTTGGACGAGGTGGTGGCTACAACACCTTACCAAGCCCTCAGAAATCAGAAAGGATTTATGACACCCCAGTGCTGTTAGGAAAGGCTGACATCAGACATGTGTCCCTGACCAGCTTCACCAAAGAATCCGGGTCCAGTGCTGTCCCAGGTCCCATCTCCACCATGACCCTCCCTCCACAGCCAGGTAACAATGCGCAGAAGAAAAACAGTCTTCCAGAAGACCTTTGCTATGCCTCTCTGGCACCCAGGGACACCAGCCCTCCGGATACAGGAGGAAACTACAAGGTTCCTTCTAGCCTTCTCATGCCCCGAGTGGAGCAGCAGGACACCAAGCCCAACATTTACGACATCCCTAAAGCCACACACAGTGCGCCCCCGGCTGCGAAGGCGCTGGGGAAAGCCAGAGAGGCTCCTGAGAATTCCTCCTGGATCTCCAAGCAGACAGTTCTCCCATCTCCTGATCCAGATGGAGCATTCATTTCTGGCTCGGACAACAGAGCTAGCATGGCGTCTTCATGCTCCTCCACGTCCACTGACTCCTCCTCCAGCTCCTTTTCAGAGGACTCGGCCAAGGAACTCTCCCTGGATGTGGACTTGGCCAGAGAGACCGCAATGGCCCTGCAGCATAAGGTGTCCAGCTCCGCGGCAGGGCTGCTTCTCTTTGTAAGCAGGACATGGAGGTTCAGAGACTCCCTGGAGGCCAACATCAACGCCATCCGTGGGGCCGCTGACAGCATGGAAGAATCCTTAAGACAATTCCTGAATTTTGCCCAAGGAGTTGGTGGGACTGCCTGCAACCTCATAGACAGTCACCTGCAGACCAGACTTCGAGATCAGCTGCAGGTGATCTCCAGCTCCTACCAGCTCCTGCTAGACTCGAAGGAAAGCCTGGATCACTGCAACTGGTCCCTCGAGGTTCTCGTCACGGACAAAGTCCAAAACAGCCTGGATGACCTGGAAAGGTTTGTCTTGGTGGCACGGATGATTCCAGAGGATGTCAAGCGGTTTGCCTCCATTGTCTTTGCTAATGGGAGGCTCCTTTTTAAGCAGAACTGTGAGAGAGGAGAGACACAGTCGAGGCGTGAAAAGTGTGCCCAGCCTTCCCAAAGAGAAATCGAATCATATCAAAAGAGTAGTCTCCTCAGTAAACAGGGGGTGAATGAGCACGCCTGTGACCTAGCGAAGAAAGCCAGAAAAAACATGTGTGGACAGGTGAGTTCAGGATCCAGACAGTACAGCAGGAGGCTTCTGTTGTTTCCTAGCATCGTCGTCACTGAGGGAGTCTGGGAGTCGTGTGTGTGTGTGTGTGTGTGTGTGTGTGTGTGTGTGTGTGTGTGTGTGTGTGTGTGTGCGC